ACAAGAGAAGAAATAGAGAACTTCTCGTGTTTAATGTTGAATGATCTTTACTGCTCTAAGGGTATGATTTTTGCACTGTTCTAATAAAATTCCCACATCCTCCTTTAAACTTGATTTAAAACATCGAGTACCTAAATTAAAAGAAATAGAAAAATTAGAGGAAATAAATTACTAAATGAAAATGATAAAAATAAGAAATAAACATAAATTAAAGAATTGGAATTGAAATGGGTTGCCTCCCATAAAGCGCTTTTGTTTAACGTCGTTAGCTTGACAACCTGGTTCAGACTACAAGTTCTAAGAGAAATACTCCATCTACTTCATACGCTTTTTCCAACTAATAACTTCCTTATGAGAAATTTTACGATCGTATAATTCTTTTATTTTCTCCTTGTAGAATTTGGCATTCTCATAGGTTTTTCTTCAGATCTTTTTTTAGCTTCTGAAATAATAACCGGTGAAGTAGAATTTTCTCATAAAAATACATTCTTTAAGTGTTCTGGTAATTGCTTATGTTCTATTTCAGGTCCTTGTAAAACGAAGGCAGAATTTTAGACTATGAAGGAATCAAACATAAATCAAGATGAATAGAAAATAAATTTTCCAACTCCCTGACTTCCTCATTGTAGTCTTCTAAACCCCTGCATAAATCATCAACAAAGTTAAATTTCATATATTCATCAACGGCAGGTTCAATAATATCAATAAAATTAATACTAGCAACTTTATTTGGATGTGCATTGCTTTGTAGACATCAAACTTAACAATCTCACTGTCAAACTCCATGGTTAAAATACTACTTCTTACGTCAATCTTTGTATGTGACGTGCTCAGAAAGGGACAACCAAGGAGAATATCGGAAGAAGTATCGGTGCGATCATTTTCCATGTCAATGACATAAGAATCAGTGGGAAATATTAAGTCATTTACCTTTACCAACACATTTTCTAAGAGTCCTTCTGGGTAGATAACAGATCTGTCGGCAAGCTGAATTGATATTTTTGTATCCTTCAAAGGCTTATTAGTAATCATATTACAAACATAAAGAGGCATCACATTAATAGAGGCGCCAAGATCACACATGGCTCACTTTATCCCAACTTTACCAATTTTACAAGGTATTTCGAACATACCTTGGTCTTTCAGTTTTGGCAGCATCTTTTGTTGGAACACGGCTGAGACATGTTCTCCCAGATTTACCTTCTCATTCCCGATAAGTTTTCTTTTTGTAGTGCAAAGGTCCTTCAAAAACTGGACATATCTTGGAACCTTTCAGATAACCTCAATGAGAGGTATATTGATTTTCACCTTCTGAAATATATCTAATATTTTCTTTTCCTCAGCTTGTTTATCCCTTTTTACTAACCTTGATGGAAAAGGTGGTGGCACAACATAGGGAGATGGTGTTGGATCTGCTTGTAATTCTTCCTTCTCCTTTTGGGACCCTGATCAACGACCTTCTTTTCCTTTTATATTGCTTCATCTTCTGGAACCGATTGTGCAACAACTGTACCACTCCGAAGAGTGATGATACTGGAATTTTCCCTTGGGTTTACCTCGGTTTGAGACAGAAGCTTACCCTGTGATTCCAAGCATCCCACGGTCTGTGCCAGTTGGCTTATTTGCTTGTCTATCTCTTAGAAATGGGCTTCAGCACGAATCTGGAACTTTTCCTGGGAAAGAGCCAACCTCTTGACGATTGATTCTAATGATGACTTCTATGACTGATGAGGTGGTGGAGGTGGCATTGACTGATAGTCTTGATTAGGCCTTGGGTTTTGTACGTAACTAAAATTTGGATGATCCTTACATCCTGGGTTGTAAGTATTGTCGTAGGGATTATAAGCCCTTTGGGAAGGTCCTGTAAAGTTTCCTACTGCATTAACTTGAGGAAATGTGTCATCTTGAATCAGTGGACAATCGTCTGTTGAATGATCATGTAATGCACATATTCCACATAATCTGTTGGTTCCAATCTTTCTTGCAACAAGAGAATTTACTACATCAGTTAATTTATTTATCTTACTTTCTAAGGAATATGAACTTATCTCATGAAACCTTCGAGGAGGTTCATTAGTTAGGCGGAACTATTGAGAATTTACGGCCATCGTGGAAATTAAATTCCTAGTCTCAGTAGGAGTCATGTTCACCAAAGATCCCGTTGGCAGCATCGATCATTTTTCATTTCCAATGGAGTTAATACTTCGTAAAAACATTGAAGGAGGGTTTGCTCAGTTAACCCATGTTGTGGGCAGCTAGCACATAACTTTTTAAATCTCTCCCAATAGTCATAGAGTGATTCTCTCTCTTGTTGTTTGATTCCAAGTATTTTTCTTCGTAACTCACTTGCTTTCGCCGCATGGAAAAACCTATCAAGAAAAAGGCGAGTCATTTAAGCCAATGTGTTAATAGAATTTAGGGGTAAATAAAATAACCATTCCTTAGCTGAATCGGCTAAGGAAAAAGGAAAATCTCTAGGTTTGATTTGGTCCTCAGATACTCTCTGTGGGTTCATACTTGAGCAGACCATGTAAAATTTCGTGAGATATTTATGTGGATTCTCGTTTGGTAATCCACGGAAGGTAGGGATGAGATGAATTAGGCCAGTTTTTAACTGTTATATAGTTTCGCCTTGGGGAAAATCGATGCACAAAGGTTTTTGTTTAGCAGGAGTTGCGGCTAACTCTCTGATAGTGGGATCAACCATCAGATTTGGTTATGTGTTAATGGATTCGCCTGAACTTGATTCTGAATTTGATTTTGAACTTGATTCTGGATCTGATTATTGTTGATCCACTTGTTGTTGTCTCCTTCTTTCTCGAAGCACCTGTGCGTGAATTCTTCGAGCTCTGGCTTCGATTTTTGGGTCAAAATCTACTAATTCACCCGAGTTTGTCCTGGTCATAAAAACCAAAAGAAAACAAAAATTAGTAATTTTGGTGAAGTCCCCGACAACTGTGCCAATTTGACATGATTCGTTTTGCTGTCAAAATAAATTCCTTCTTCTCAAATATGAAAGGGAAAAGCGTAGTGAAGAGAAGTAAGGGCCGATCCATAGGGACTTAGAAAATTCCCAAATTTGAGTTTGAATTGGCTATGATCCATGCAATGTGCAGTAAAATAAAATAAAATGGGGGTTTTGATGGAAAAAGATTGAATAAGAAAAAGTAATTAAAGATGAAAATTAAGAAGATTGAAAATATAAAATTGAAAATACTTATGGTAAAAAGTAGCCTCAAGCCTCGCTTTGACTCAATTCGTTTATGATCATGAAAAACATATTTTCACTTCAAGATTTATGCCGATTACAGTCTACAAGGACCAACCCTTGTAACTTACTTTTCACTTTAGTAACCGATTTTCGCAAGGTCAATCTTTGGAAATCTAGGTTTTAATTGAACCAACTATGACAATTATTGTTAGCACAAAACAATTTTAGTTTAGGAAAAGCCCGTATCAGATTATGTTGTCTCGCTGAGAATCTAACCCGATCTCAGTTTCCCTTAGCGGACCATCGCAAAGTGTGTTTACAGAAAGTCGGATATGCTATTCACCGATCTTTCATCCCAACTTTAAATCAGAACAACATCTAGACCAACGTCGACTTTTTTGAAATGAAAGTGTTTTGATTTTATAGGATAGGTCGATCATCTATCCAAGTTTCTAGAAAACTGAGAGTGACATCCTGAAGATGTTAAGTGCTTTTTCAATTCTCACATATTGAATTAAGTCATCGCTTAGCCTTTCAGCTTATGAGAAATTTGCTAAGCATGACAGAAGTCATCTTAGCATATTTAAAAATAAAACTTGAAAATAAAAATAAAAATGAAAACGAAAAGAAGAAAAACAAAACTTTTATAAAAAACGAAATCACCGAAAGTTACTGAATCTAAAAAACAAGTGTGTTCTGAGCCTTACCCCAAGGGGGTATTTATAGCTTCTAAAATCCTAGAGACAAACATAGAAATTAAAAGAAAAATAATCCTAAAGAAAATTCCAAATGTTTTTCAAATTCAAACTTTAAAATTTTAAAAATAAATCTCCTAAGATATCTCTGTCCGTCTACCTTCCAGAAGGTGCTGACTAGATCTTCTAGAAAACTGCTACTGACTGGACCTTCTGGAAACTACCACGTCAGACCGTGTCATGCCCAGAGTCGTGCCCATGTCTCCATTTGTGACCAAATAATAAAAAAATGCAGAATGCACCTTTCTTACTACTAATTCTGAAAAATAAGATCCTGCAAGAAAATAAGCACAAAACAGTCAAATCAATAGTAATAAATCCACAACACGAAATAATTAACAAGAAAATTTCATCAATTTAGAACACTCATCAAGACGACAATGAGAAAACGGTTCACTCTCCAATAGTTGGCCATATAAAGCAAATACCATCTATTTATACCATTTTTGCTAGGGTATATAAAACAATAAATATAGTTGATTTTGAAAAGGATTTTGTTAATTTCTTTTGATGTACCATACCTTAATAATATTTAAAACTCACAATTATAAAAATCAAGAAAATTTAGTTTAATTTATTTTGAATTGGAAAAAAAAGAAATTTTGAGTTTATATAATTTTAGAATTAATTTATTAGAATTTAATATTTAGATTATTTATGTTCAAATACAAAAGGACACATCAAATGACAAAAAATTGTACAACTAATTAATAAATATATAATAAAATAATAACAAAGAGAGGAAAGAAAGTTATATTATACCTGTCAAGATGTTATTTGAAAGATCAAGGACATCCAAAGAAATCATATATATGATCATCGGTGGAATTGTACCTAAGACATATAAAAATAATAATTCATCAAAATATTTTGATGACATATTTATGTTATGTCTTGAGTATAGTAATATGATAATTTTACATTTGTATTTTAAGGTTAAAATAAATTACAACAATATAAACAAAATAAAATTCAATGGTAAATAACTCTATATTTAAGTACATTATTAAAGCATGATGAGTCATTAAACTTACCTGAGAAGTTGTTTTCTCCAATGGTGAAAACCTTGAGTGAAGTCAAATTTGAGATTTCTAATGGCACAGTTCCCTCCAAATAATTATAATCCAAAAATATATATTGTAATTCTCTGCATTTAAATAAGCTCTTTAGAATTTTTCCAGAAAGTTGACATCCTCCCAAATCAAGACGAAGTAATTGGGGATGATAATCAAACATATTGGAGGAGAGAGAACCAAAGAAATTATTGAATCCCACTGAAATATGTTGCAAAGAGGAAATGTTGAAGATTAAGGAAGGAATAGGACCTGCGCAATAAATAACCAAACTTATATTTTTTTTTGCATAATCAAAAAGAGAGCCTTCAACCAATGTAGAAGAATTGTATTAATCCAACCTTTAACCAATAATTTCATTGGTAAAACACACAAATGGTCCCCTAATTATAGGGTATTGTTTTGTTGAGTCCCCCGATTATTAAAAATTACAAAATGATCCCTTAACTATAGGGTATTGCTTTGTTGAGTCCCCTAACAATTAAAAGTTACAAAATGGTCACTTGACTATTCATATATTCTAAACTCATCATTCTCTATTAAAAAATTGACATCAGTTTGAGCAGGATGTTAACCTGCTGACTTTGATATGATAAAATTTGATCACAAAATCTCAAACGATTATTATATCTCAATCAACAAGTAACATCCAGCTCAGATTGTCATCAATTTTTAACGAAAAAGGACGAGTTTGAAACATATAAATAGTCAGACAACCATTTTGTAACTTTTAATAGTCGAAGGACTCAACAAAGCAACACGCTATAGTTAGGGGACCATTTTGTAACTTTTAATAGTCGAGGGACTCAACAGAGAAACACCCTATAATCGAGGGACCATTTGTGTACTTTACTCTTAAGTTCATATCATCTACACCCAATTTGTTAAAAAAATGTTTAAATGATTAATCACTTCATTTTCTTTTCTTTTTTAAATCGACTTAAGATCTCACTATTGTTTAAAGTCAAGTATTAAAAATTGAAATCTTGTTATTATGAAAATTGAATTTGAACATTTTACTACACAATTTGAATTATTTTTTATTTTAATCCAGATTTTATTTTTAATATACATTTTTACTATTCTTAATTAGCACTAAAAATCAAACTTGAAATCAATTGTAAAAATAAAATCCACTATGTAATAAATAAACAAGCTAGGTGGTAACATTTGAATTGTTTTGTTTGGTTATTCATTCAATCAAAACAAATTCTACCCAACTCCAAATCAAGAGTCTTTTCATACTATAGGAAAAAACTCTCTTACCTAGTCATTCTGTTCCAAAAGTCCGCGTAACACCAAAATTAAATTCTTGAGAGTAAATTATTCATTTATGAGATAAAAATCTTTTTTAGAAAAATATTATTTTAATCTCTAAACTTTTTTAAATTTATACTTTGATCATTAAATTTTCATTTCGGTCACTAATCGAATTTTGGGTATTACAAAACAAATAATTCCTCTCGCTCTCTCTATATTTTTTGACATGAAACTCCTCTATATTGAAGCACGATGAGTTATTAAGCTTACATGATAAATTGTTTTCTTGGATGAATAAAAGCTTGAGTGAAGTCAAATTTGAGATTTCTAATGGTACAATCCCCTCCAAATGATTATAATTCAAATACAACTGTTCTAACTTTTTACATTTGAATAAACTCATTGGAATAGGACCTGCGCAAAAAATAACCAAACTTCAATTTTGAGGCATACTAAAAGAAAAAACGAGTCTTAAGCTATGATCAAATCTAGAAGATTTGTATCAATCCAACCTTTAACCAATGATTTTATATCATCTACAGCCAATTTGTTAAAGAAAATGTTTATATGATTAATCACGTCATCCTTTGTTTCTTTTTTTTCTTTTTAAATATGAAAATGTCATTCATTTTTTACTGCTTATGATAGCTCCAAATATGAACATGGTTGTGGTTTGAATGGAAGACGTGTATTTTGTATTTTGGTTGCGATGGTCCTTTGTATCTAGTCTTATTCCAGGTTGTGTGTACTCTTTTCCTTCAACTAGGATTAGAAAGGCTTTTAACGAGACACATAATCTGGTTTTAGACGTTTAAGATATTAAATAATATCAAATTGCCGAGCAAAAAATATGATCTAAAGGTGCTGTTAATGGAACAATCCTTATTGAATTCTTTATTGGTAGGTTTGATTTTCAAATTAAGCCGTTTTTTTTCAAAATTTTCTGTTATGGCTTTCTATCGAGCAAAAGAAAGAATTGCACAATACCTTTTAAGTTGTTTGAAGAAAGGTTAATCACCTCAACAAAAATAAGATTTCCGATATCCGATGGAATTTCACCTGAAACATACAATTAGATTCACTCTAATATCCGTATTCAAAATATCATGCATGCTTATGTATGAATTAGTTGAGGTGTTCATGTCAGCTCTGTGGATGAGTAGTTTCTTATTCAATTTTATAATTGTAGAAATCCATCTTTGTTTCATTCCTTAGTTTATAAGAAACAGCATCTGATTTGTGAGAGGATGCAGTCTGTCCACTTAAAGATGAACACGAGTATCGTAACATAGTAGGGAAATTACTATACGTTTTTCACACTAGCCGAATATACTGGTGACAAAAGTGATTTGGGTAAGTCCACTACTAAAGGATATGGAAATTATATATAAGACAGCTATCGAGACGGACCTGAACCAGGGGCAGATGGATTAAGTCCTTAGGAAGCAAGTGCATGTCATTATTTTGGAAAATTGTAAATACTAGTTTAATGTATTAAGGAAAAGAGAGAAAAACAAAAGAAATTTGTATACTCAATTTCTTTTTCAAAAAAAAATATCTTCGAATTTCTGGATCGGTCACTGCTTCCAACCACCATGCCTTGAAGTTTTCTGCTCTGTCCAGTCCACTGCTTGTTTTGCAACAAAAATCGGTCAACGACTTCTCTTTTTTACCCTTTTTGCAAATCTTTGTCGAACTCTCTCGTAGGTCCTAATGAACCACCGTGGTCTTCCAGTTGCGAATACAATGTATCCCGTACTCAGTCCCAGCACCAACCCACATCCATACCCCATCAATATTGAAAATTTCCAGCTCATTCCATCATCATCATCTCTATCAAACTTGGCTGGAGTTCCCTTTTCATTATCACAACTTTTTGATAATGGAAATCCACATAAACCCAGGTTTCCTATGTAGGAATCATTTGTGAATGTATCGAATTGTTTGCCTTGAGGAATGAGCCCCACAAGATTATTCTGAGAAAGGTTCAACACTGCTAAGAACCCAAGATTTTTCAACTCTGTTGGAATTCTTCCATGGAGCTTGTTTGATGAGAGATCTAATGATTCAAGCTCTGATATATCACCTAATGATGATGGAATATGACCTGTTAAACAATTATGAGAGAGATTCAAGACAATAAGTGAGTGAAGCTCTCCAAGTGCTTTAGGAATTTCTCCGTAGAACTGATTGCTGGAAAAATCAATAACTGTCCATATAGTTAGCAATTCCTCAAACTCTGTTTTCAACCCTTTTATTATAAAAGATATGTTGATGGCATAATTCCACACTCCCAATGCTGATCCATCTGTCATGTACTCTGGTTTATCTTTTTTTCCATTCCCTTCTTTAATGGCATGCAAATTTTCAAAATATTTCATAGGTAAATAGCCACTGAAATTGTTATGAGAAATATCAATGAGACGTAAACGAGTGAAGGAAACTGTAACTCCTGAGCTAACCACTTCACCATAGAATCTGTTCGATCTCAAGATAAGCACTTGCAGTTGATCCAAATTTCCTAACCAATTTGGGAATGTGTCATTCAAATAGTTGTTTCCAACGTCGAGAAGCTTCAACTCTTTGCAATTACCCAAAGATCGTGGCAGTGACCCTTCTATTTGGTTGTTGCTCATTCGAAAACTGTGTAAGGTGCAACTCTTACCAAATTTTTCTGGTATTTTACCATGAAAATTATTCTTCTCTAGGTCAATGTGTGAAAGAGAACTCATGTTTCCAATGCTATCAGGAATTTCTCCATCCAAACTATTCTTGTATAAGAAGAGAACCTTGAGGGAACTCAGATTGCATAATGAGGGAGGAATTTGGCCTTGCAGAAAATTTGGAACATAGTTAAAATTAGGAGTTTGGATCATCTTTTAAACAAATAAATAATGTTTGTAATTTAAAAATAAAATATTTTGATTAAAAACTCTATTGAAGGAAGATGTAACTAAGTAAAGCTTACTAATACTAACTGTAACAACCCGGAATAAAATTTAGAGAAAAAAAAAATTTAATTAAGTAATTTGGCAAAATTTGAGGATTAAATCGAAAGTTTTCAAAATTGTAGGCCATTTTAGAAGTTAAAGGAAATTCAGGGACCAAGCCCTGCATTACTCCTTTTAGTGTCGGCAGAAAATTTCATTTAAGCGTATGAATGGTTTTCTGTTTTCAAAACAGAAAACAATTGTTAAATTCCTCCTCCCGCACTCTACTTCAAAGCCGATTCCGACGCCGTCCGAATTCCGATCGTTGTTTTGAAACCACCGTTGTGTTCATCATCGAGCGAGGAACAAACCCTTCAAATTAATTGAAGCGAAACGCGGCCAAACGTCGGGAATTTCCAGTCAAAGTAGCGACGGTTTTGTTAGCTCTATCGCCGAGGAAATCTTAAATTCACCGCTGATCGTTGCTCCGTTTACGACACCTCCCGCACCATCGTGTTCCTTGTGACGTTCCGAGTTCACCGGTGTCAACCTTGTCCGCCGTAGACGGCGGCGCGTGAGGAGGTGGTGCAGTCAAAGATTCGGCCGATTTGAAATCGAGCTCTCCGCCGTTCAAAAATTTGAACCGATCGTTGTAAGTATCTTGAAATCGCTCAAAATAATTTTTAGAAATTTTTCCGGGATTTTTAGGGCCCCGGAGGACGCCTCACGCGCCACACGCGCCGCCGCAGGGCGAGTGGCTGCTGGAAACCGGTTTAACCGGTTTTCAACCGGTTCTGACCGGTTTGACCGGTTTCAACCGGTTCGAACCGGTTTGACCGGTCCGACCCGACCCGACCGTTGACCCGACCCGACCCGACCGTTGACCCGACCCGACCCGACCGTTGACCCGACCCGACCCGACCGTTGACCGTTGACCGTTGACCGTTGACCATTGACTTTCTTTGACCAAAACTTAAAATGGCTTTGACCGAGCATTAAACGACCGTTAATCTTTTCCGAGTATACCTATCCTGATAGTTTTCGACGTGCCGAATCCGTTTCCGTGGTCCGTTTTGTCAAATTCGAATCCGAAGGTCTCCAAATCTACGGTCAAAGTGGTTGACTTTGACTTTGACCAAGAATTTGAATTTTCGAAAAGTCATACTTTATGTTTTTCGACGCCCTGATTCCGATTCCGTAATCCGTTTGGCCAAATTCAGACTCGAAATACCTCAAATTGATAGTCAAACCCTAAAAATGCGTATATACTTAAGAAGTTTAGCTTTGAACAATTAAATAGGATTTGAGACTGATAAATATTATTGTTTGAAGGTACAAGAGACTCTCCGGATCGTTCGACAGCTCGACCCAGCTATTCTAGATCAGTTAAACCACGTGTTCCAGTATTTACCCGTTCGAAAACTGTAGCAGAGCGTGGTGAAACCAGAAATCAGTAGATTTGTTATTTGAATCTATTGTCGAGGTGTGTTCCCTACTTGTTATTGAACTGTTTTATTGGTTTTAATACGTGGTACACCGAATTCATTGGCTATTGTTTTATGGATGCACCAATTTAATGTGACAATTTATGGAATATGGCTGCTATCTAATTTTTGTTTTGAAATGGTATATGATTACCATGTTTTTTTTGGATTTATGGAGTTTATGTCACGGTGCAATTGAATTTTGGAATTGAAATACGATGGAATAGCTCTGATCAAGCTAACTGGGCCTAATGTGACTCTTGAGGGCCCCAAGATGTTTCATTAGGTCGGCTTTCCTTTGCTGTGTGCTTAGGGTAAGCTATATGGACTTATTGACTTGGGCTTAAGGATACAAGCTTCAGAGCCTATCCTTAAGTCGGCTTTCTTTTTGCTATGTGCATAAATTAAGCTATATGGAAATAATTTTGGGAACTACTGATGGTGTACCAGAAAAGGGTTTAAACTATGATTTTCAAAAAGTTAAACTCTTTTACGAATTTGTGAGATTACTGGAATATGATTTGTACCTATTGTGATTTTATGGAAATGTTGGGACACACTGAGCCTAGCTCACCTTTTGAAAATGTTTTCCCTTTCAGATACTGTTGGGTAGATACCTTGGTTCGAGCACTTGGAGGATCAACATATCTCTTGAAGTAAATCAGATTGTAATGTTTTTATCTGGCAAGTTTACTTTATTTTGGTGACATGGACCTTATTTTAAAATATCGGATTTTATAATGATAACACTTTTGCTACTACTGCTCAGTTCATTGTGATTTTGAATTTGAAGACATGTTTTAAATTAAATTATTATTTATTTGTACTATATTTACAAGTTGGATTTTGATAGTATAAATTGTTTATAATTTCATGTTTTTATAATGTGATTTTATATTGATGGAATAACGGTTGCGAAAAATGTCTTTAATAATTATAATGTGATCCACTAGACTTAGTCGAAACGCATAGGCCGGGTCTAGGGGGTTACATTTATTGGTATCAGAGCTTTTGGTTTTTAACCCTCGGACTGTGTATGAGTCCACATTGAAAATACGGTTTTGAAATATTTTACAAAACGAGTTACTAAGGCCATGTCACAAAGTTATTAAGATTTTAACTATGTTTGAGACTCCAAGTGCTTATCTAACCCTAAGTTTTATCTTCTGTAGTAAACTTGAGATCCATCAAAATGAGTGCTAGACGTAGTCGTCGAACTAGCCGTGGACGAGGTCGAGTGGCTAGATTCGCAGATCCGATCGATGAGATACGGGTAGATCCCCCACCTCCGATAGGTGATCATGCTCCTACGACCCCAACGGATCTGCCTCCTGCCGCTGGTATTGGCATGACTACATCGATAATAGGAGCGACCGATATTGAGTTAGAGTCTACCGGAGTTACTTTGGATGAGAATTTTGGTAGACAATTTCTGCAGTTAATACATGGAGCAGTCAGAGCTACTGGTGTTGTATCTGAGGTTCCTATTTCGCAGACTTTGATTGCCAATGGAGTTAGAACTTTTGGGGGACAGATAGGTGGAGCTCCTACTGAAGCTGAGGATTGGCTCCAGGATACAGAGAGACGCATGGATCAGTTGGGTTTGGACTCAATTAAGAGATATCAGGGTGCTGTGGCGATGTTAGATGGCAATGCCTACACTTGGTGGGAGTCAGTGACCAGTAGTGTTCCTACCGATCGTTTGACCTGGAATTTCTTTAAGGATCGCTTTCGGAGCCGTTTTCTGGGAGAGCGCTACTTAGCTCAGAGACGACAACAGTTTCAAGACCTGGTTCAGGGAGACATGACTGTTTCTGAATATGAGATCGAGTTCCTGAAATTGCTGAAGTATGGATTCAGTATGGTACCTACGGAGAGAGATCGATGTCGTAAATTTGCCCTTGGACTCAGATACGAGCTGCGTAGGCAAGTTGTAACCCATCAGGATGAGATATTTGATATGCTGGTGGGCAGAGCCAAAGATGCGGAAGAGGTGGAGTTTTTAGCTTCTGGTAGAGAGCGTGTTGATCAAGATCGATCTAAGAAATTTTCAGGCCCGATGGAGTCATCAGCACAGTCCGGAAAGAGGACTCGTACTTCAGCTCCTCAGAGAAGCAATACACGTTTCAGGCCTGCAGCATCCTCACCTTTAGCTGTCAGTCAAGGCGGTTCCTCGTCGTATTATAATGGGCCCCTTTGTGAGTATTGTGGTAAACAACACTCAGGAGAGTGTCGTAAGAAGATGGGTCTTTGCTATCAGTGTGGATCTAGTGGTCATTATCGGAGGGATTGTCCTCAGTTAGTTTCGTTTGAGCAGACCACTACCCAAACTCCTGTGCGTTCGCAGACTACAGTACAGACCCCAATTAGAGATCGTAGTCAAGGAAAGACTCGAGGATCAGCGTCCAGGACAGACAGTAGAGCCCGACCTCAGCAAAATAGAGGGCCAACAGCTTCTGAGGCTAGACAGCCAGCTTTGGTTTATGCAACTAGACGTCGTGATGACAGAGATGAGCCTGAGGTTATTGCAGGTACATTTACTATTTATTCTATCCCATACTTTGCATTACTGGACAATGGCTCCACTCACTCCTATGTATCGAGCTCAGTATCTCGAAACCTTCAGATTCCGATAGAGAACACTGAAAATACTGTTACAGTTACGAGTCCAGTAGGACAAGCAGTATTAGTGAATAAAGTATTTCGGCGTTGCCCTCTCGAGGTTCAGGGAGAAATTTTTCTCGCTGATCTTATGGAGCTTCCTCTAGAGGAGTTTGATCTAATTCTTGGAATGGATTGGTTGAATAAACACAAGGTAAAGCTGGATTGCGAATACAAGCGGGCTACTCTGAAGACTTCAGATGGTCGGACTGTTGTGTTAATTGGGGAACGGCGTGGCTATCTCTCCAATATAGTTTCAGCGATGGAAATTGATCGTATGATCCGAAAGGGATATGAGACCTTCATTGCTTGTATTTTGAACACCAAAGGTGCATTGTCCACGATCGAGGAGATTCGTACAGTTAGCGAGTTTCCTGATGTTTTTCCGGAGGAGTTGCCTGGGTTACCTCCTGATAGAGAGGTAGAGTTCGAGATTGAGACTTATCCAGGATCTTCACCTATTTCTATGGCACCTTATCGTATGGCTCCAAAGGAACTTAAGGAGTTGAAAGTCCAATTGCAAGAATTATTCGATCGAGGATTTATCCGACATAGTACTTCACCATGGGGAGCTCCAGTTCTATTCGTGAAAAAGAAGGATGGGTCGCTAAGATTATGTATTGACTATCGGAAATTGAACAAGATGACGGTCAAGAATAAATACCCATTACCCAGGATAGATGACTTATTTGATCAATTGCGAGGAGCTACTGTATTCTCTAAGATTGATCTTCGTTCGGGGTATTAACAATTGAAAGTTAAAGGATCTGATGTTGCAAAAACGGCCATTCGCACTAGATATGGTCATTATGAATTTTTAGTGATGCCTTTTGGTTTGACGAACGCTCCTGCAGCTTTTATGGATTTGATGAATCGGGTGTTCCGACCATATTTGGATCAATTTGTGGTGGTCTTCATTGACGATATTCTGATCTATTCTCATACGGAGGCAGAGCATGACGAGCATTTGAAGATCGTTCTGCGGACTTTGAGAGAGCATCGTCTATATGCCAAACTAAGCAAGTGTGAGTTTTGGCTTCAAGAAGTGTCATTTCTGGGGCATATTATTTCTGCGCGAGGTGTTCAGGTTGATCCCAGCAAGATAGAGGCTATTATGAATTGGAAACGACCTAAGAACGTATCTGAAATCCGCAGTTTCTTGGGCTTGGCTGGTTATTATCGACGTTTTGTTGAGGGCTTTTCGATCATTGCTTCTCCTTTGACAAAGTTGTTAAGGAAGAATGTGTCGTTTGACTGGGGTGAGGCACAACAGGAGAGCTTTGAGAAATTAAAGGCGGTTTTGACTCAAGCACCGGTGTTGATTCAACCACAGTCCGGGAAGGATTTTACAGTGTATAGTGATGCTTCACATTCAGGACTTGGTTGTGTTTTAATGCAGGAAAGTAAGGTGGTGGCTTATGCATCCCGTCAGCTGCGACCGCACGAGTGTAATTATCCTACTCACGATTTAGAGTTGGCAGCAGTAATTTTTGCCTTGAAGATATGGAGACACTATCTTTATGGAGAGAAGTGTTACATTTTCACAGATCATAAGAGCTTAAAGTATCTTCTGACCCAGAAGGAACTTAATTTAAGACAGCGTCGCTGGTTAGAGCTTCTAAAGGATTATGATTGCGTGATTGATTACCACCCTGGTAAAGCTAACATTGTAGCAGATGCTTTGAGTCGAAAGACGGTATCGGAGTTGAGGTCTTTAATGGCCAAGATGAATTTATATGACGATGGCACTTTGTTAGCAGAATTGCAAGTTAAGCCGACCTTGGTTGATGAGATCAAAGCTAAGCAGCCCCTTGATAGCTCCTTGCTTTCCATCTTTGAGCAAGTAGAGCAGGGGACAAACACAGATTACGCAATTGATCAGGATGAAGTTTTATGCTTTAAAGGTAGATATTGTGTGCCTGATGACGCTGAATTGAGGCAGACTATCCTTACTGAGGCTCACAGTAGTCCATATGCTATGCACCCCGGAGGAGATAAGATGTACCGGAATTTGAGAGAGAGGTATTATTGGACTGGTATGAAGAAAGACATATCTGACTTTGTGGCTAGGTGTTTGACTTGTCAGCAAGTTAAGGCAGAACATCAACATCCATCAGGTTTGTTACAGCCTATCAAGATTCCTGAATGGAAATGGGAGCGTATTACTATGGATTTTGTTACTGGCTTGCCTATGACTCCTTTGAAAAAAAATTCAGTTTGGGTGATTGTTGACAGACTTACAAAGTCAGCTCACTTCATTCCTGTGCGAGTAAATTATACTTTGGATAAGCTGGCAAGATTGTATATTTCAGAGATTGTCAGATTGCATGGTATTCCATTGTCTATTATTTCTGATCGAGATCCGAGATTTACTTCGAGATTTTGGAAGGCGTTACATACGGCTTTGGGAACAAGATTGGATTATAGTACATCCTTTCATCCACAAACTGATGGTCAATCTGAGAGAGTAATTCAGATTCTGGAGGATATGTTGCGGGGTTGCGTAATCGATTTTCATGGTAGTTGGGAGAACTTTTTGCCGTTGGCTGAATTTGCTTACAATAACAGTTATCAGACCAGTATTCGTATGGCACCCTATGAAGCACTCTATGGGCGTAAATGTCGCACTCCGATCTGTTGGACTGAGTTGCGTGATAGGAAAACGTTGGGACCTGAGTTAGTGCGAGAGATGGAGGACACAGTCAGATTAATCCGTGACCGTCTGAAAGAGGCATTTGATAGGCAGAAATCTTATGCAGATCAAAGAAGGAAGGATATACAGTTTGAAGTGGGAGATCGGGTCTTTTTGAAAGTTTCACCCTGGAAGAAAGTATTGAGATTCGGGCGTAAGGGTAAATTAAGTCCAAGATTTATTGGACCATTTCGTATCTTGAAGAGGGTAGGACCTGTAGCATATCAGCTTGAGTTGCCTTCTGAGTTAAGTCGTATTCATGATGTTTTTCATGTATCAATGTTGAGGAGATACCGTCCAGATCCAGGTCACATTATTCAGGTTGAAGAAGTAGAGCTAAGACCTGATTTGTCATATGAGGAGGAGCCCATTCAGATTTTAGAAAGAGATGAAAGAGTTCTTCGGAATAGGCGAATTCCAATGGTCAAAGTTCAGTGGAGTAATCGAGGCCCCTCAGAAGCTACTTGGGAGACATTGGAGTCAATGGAGGCTCAGTTTCCTCAACTATTCTCATAAGGTAAATTTCGAGGACGAAATTTCTTGTAGAGGGGGAGAATTGTAACAACCCGGAATAAAATTTAGAGAAAAAAAAATTTAATTAAGTAATTTGGCAAAATTTGAGGATTAAATCGAAAGTTTTCAAAATTGTAGGCCATTTTAGAAGTTAAAGGAAATTCAGGGACCAAGCCCTGCATTACTCCTTTTAGTGTCGGCAGAAAATTTCATTTAAGCGTATGAATGGTTTTCTGTTTTCAAAACAGAAAACAATTGTTAAATTCCTCCTCCCGCACTCTACTTCAAAGCCGATTCCGACGCCGTCCGAATTCCGATCGTTGTTTTGAAACCACCGTTGTGTTCATCATCGAGCGAGGAACAAACCCTTCAAATTAATTGAAGCGAAACGCGGCCAAACGTCGGAATTTCCAGTCAAAGTAGCGACGGTTTTGTTAGCTCTATCGCCGAGGAAATCTTAAATTCACCGCTGATCGTTGCTCCGTTTACGACACCTCCCGCACCATCGTGTTCCTTGTGCCGTTCCGAGTTCACCGGTGTCAACCTTGTCCGCCGTAGACGGCGGCGCGTGAGGAGGTGGTGCAGTCAAAGATTCGGCCGATTTGAAATCGAGCTCTCCGCCGTTCAAAAATTTGAACCGATCGTTGTAAGTATCTTGAAATCGCTCAAAATAATTTTTAGAAATTTTTCCGGGATTTTTAGGGCCCCGGAGGACGCCTCACGCGCCACACGCGCCGCCGCAGGGCGAGTGGCTGCTGGAAACCGGTTTAACCGGTTTTCAACCGGTTCTGACCGGTTTGACCGGTTTCAACCGGTTCGAACCGGTTTGACCGGTCTGAATCGGTTTGACCGGTCTGACCCGACTCGACCGTTGACCCGACCCGACCCGACCGTTGACCCGACCCGACCCGACCGTTGACCCGACCCGACCCGACCGTTGACCGTTGACCGTTGACCGTTGACCATTGACTTTCTTTGACCAAAACTTAAAATGGCTTTGACCGAGCATTAAACGACCGTTAATCTTTTCTGAGTATACCTATCCTGATAGTTTTCGACGTGCCGAATCCGTTTCCGTGGTCCGTTTTGTCAAATTCGAATCCGAAGGTCTCCAAATCTACGGTCAAAGTGGTTGACTTTGACTTTGACCAAGAATTTGAATTTTCGAAAAGTCATACTTTATGTTTTTCGACGCCCTGATTCCGATTCCGTAATCCGTTTGGCCAAATTCAAACTCGAAATACCTCAAATTGATAGTCAAACCCTAAAAATGCGTATATACTTAAGAAGTTTAGCTTTGAACAATTAAATAGGATTTGAGACTGATAAATATTATTGTTTGAAGGTACAAGAGACTCTCCGGATCGTTCGACAGCTCGACCCAGCTCTTCTAGATCAGTTAAACCACGTGTTCCAGTATTTACCCGTTCGAAAACTGTAGCAGAGCGTGGTGAAACCAGCAATCAGTAGATTTGTTATTTGAATCTATTGTCGAGGTGTGTTCCCTACTTGTTATTGAACTGTTTTATTGGTTTTAATACGTGGTACACCGAATTCATTGGCTATTGTTTTATGGATGCACCAATTTAATGTGACAATTTATGGAATATGGCTGCTATCTAATTTTTGTTTTGAAATGGTATATGATTACCATGTTTTTTTGGATTTATGGAGTTTATGTCACGGTGCAATTGAATTTTGGAATTGAAATACGATGGAATAGCTCTGATCAAGCTAACTGGGCCTAATGTGACTCTTGAGGGCCCCAAGATGTTTCATTAGGTCGGCTTTCCTTTGCTGTGTGCTTAGGGTAAGCTATATGGACTTATTGACTTGAGCTTAAGGATACAAGCTTCAGAGCCTATCCTTAAGTCGGCTTTCTTTTTGCTATGTGCATAAATTAAGCTATATGGAAATAATTTTGGGAACTACTGATGGTGTACCAGAAAAGGGTTTAAACTATGATTTTCAAAAAGTTAAACTCTTTTACGAATTTGTGAGATTACTGGAATATGATTTGTACCTATTGTGATTTTATGGAAATGTTGGGACACACTGAGCCTAGCTCACCTTTTGAAAATGTTTTCCCTTTCAGATACTGTTGGGTAGATACCTTGGTTCGAGCACTTGGAGGATCAACATATCTCTTGAAGTAAATCAGATTGTAATGTTTTTATCTGGCAAGTTTACTTTATTTTGGTGACATGGACCTTATTTTAAAATATCGGATTTTATAATGATAACACTTTTGCTACTACTGCTCGGTTCATTGTGATTTTGAATTTGAAGACATGTTTTAAATTAAATTATTATTTATTTGTACTATATTTACAAGTTGGATTTTGATAGTATAAATTGTTTATAATTTCATGTTTTTATAATGTGATTTTATATTGATGGAATAACGGTTGCGAAAAATGTCTTTAATAATTATAATGTGATCCACTAGACTTAGTCGAAACGCATAGGCCGGGTCTAGGGGGTTACACTAACATGTAACTAAGTAAAGAAAAATGGAAAATAATATTATACCTGTTAAGTTATTATCAGAAAGTTCAAATTCCTCGAGAAAAGTCAAGTTTCCAATAACTGATGGAATTTTTCCTGGAACATATAAATAAAGTTACTAAAAATATTATTATGGTGAAGAAACTAAATATAAAAGTTAAAACAAATTACAACAATATTTATTATTAAAAAATGTTCAATGGTTAGTAACTCATCTATGTCTTAAGTACATCATTAAAGCAAGATGAGTTATTTAGCTTACCTGATAAGTAGTTATCTTCGATAGAGACATACTTGAGTGAAGTCAAATTTGAGATTTCTACTGGCACAATTCCCTCCAAATTATTACTATCCAAAAACAAAAAGTTTAACTCTTTGTTTTTGAATAAACTCATTGGAACTCTTCCAGAAAGTTGACAATATTCCAAATTAAGATAATGTAATCGAGGAAGATAATCAAACATATCGGAAGAGAAATAACCAAAGAGATTGTTGTATCCCAGTGAAATCTCTTGCAACGAGGAAATGTTGAAGATTGAGTAGGGAATAGAACCTGCGGAATAAATAACCAAACTTCAATTTTCCAGCATAATGAAAAGAAAACACTTAAAACTATGATAAAATTCCCACATAAAAAATTGTATCAATCCAACCTTTAATCTATTATTTCAAATCATCTAAACCCAATTTGTTGAAAAATGTTTACATGACTAATAATAGAACTTGTACAAGAAAAGAGAAGAAATACGATATGGTACCTTTTAAGTTGTTTTTAGAAAGGTAAATCCTTTCGAGAGAAGTAAGATTTCCAACAATCGATGGAATTTCACCTGAAACGTACAAAAGATTTGTAATGAGAAGCCATTTCCTTATTAGAAAGGAAAAAAAATTATTAATATTGAGCAAAATAATGAATTGTATAAGAGGAAAAAAAATAGAAATGTGATATTATACCTGTTAAGGTGTTATTAGAAAGGTCAATATACTCAAGAGAAATAAGATTCTTAATATTCGATGAAATTTCACCTGAAATATATAATAAATTCGTCAAAATCATAATTTTACCATTTATAAAAGCTCTAAATAGTTTAAATTACAATTTAAGCATATCTTTACCTGAGAAGTTGTTATGAGAAAGGCCAATATGCTTAAGAGAAGTAAGGTTTCCAATAACAGATGGAATTTCACCTGAAACATATGATTAAATTCCGTCAAAATTTATTAATATTTTTCTAGCAGACCCTCAATTTCTATAATAGAGCTTTAATATTAAAAACAATTGTTTACCTTTGAAGTTGTTGTAACCAAGATACAAAGATTGGAGCATCGTCAAATTTCCGATTTCTATAGGTATACTTCCTTCCATAGAGTTGTTCCACAATGATATATACCTCAACTCTTTGCACTTGTATAAACTGCTGGGAATGCTACCAGAAATCTGATTACCATCCAACCTTAATTCTTGCAAATTAGAAAGGCTATCGAATATTTTCGACTCTAGATAGCCTGCAGTGAGATTGTTAGTTATAAAACAACTTTTAACTAATGAAAATATATTCAAGATCGAGAAAGAAATGGAACCTGAAAAAGAATTATAATCCAGATATAACTGTTCCAAGTTTGATAGATTTCCAATTGTTATAGGAATCTGCCCTTTGAAATCGTTGCTATGCAAGACCAGCCTTTCTAATTTTGACAAATTGCCCAAAGTAGATGGGATAACACCAGTGAAGCTGTTGCTACCAAAGTTCAAATATTTCAGCCGATGCAAATTAGTTAACTCGGTAGGTAAAGAGCCATGGAAACTATTGTTATGAATGTCGAGCCAGCCAAGGAAAGATAAATTTGCCAATTGAGATGGAATGGTGCCCGTGAGATCCATACTTGACAAATTCAGAGCAATGACTCTGTGGTGTCTGGATCCACAAGTGACACCAATCCAATTGCAAACAGATACAGAAGTGGACCAGCTGGTTGCTAGGAGGTTGTGCGGATCATGAGTTATATGGGATTTTAAGGCTAAAAGGGCGAATTCATCAATGGTGATGTTGGCCGACAGAGTAGCCCTGAAGGTTGCAAATAACAGGAGAAACATAAGAGGGATGAGGAAGGGAGTTTTTGCCATAAGGTTGGGTGTGGGTAAAATGCAAATCATGAAGAGAGAAACAACTGAGTTTTAATGCTTCTCTATTGTTAGGTCGATGCTCTTTATATACTTTGATTCTAAATAATTAGACACGATATCCTTCGACTCACAATTTGAATAAGAAATACGCACAATTACCTGTACACGAAAAGAAAAGGCCAAAAATGGAAGACTTGGTCTCCAGTACATCAGCGGTCCATACATCCCATTGAGAATCTAATTTTGATTGGAATTAGACATATTCATCAATCAGTATCATTTGGAATTAGACATATTCATCAATCAGTATCATTTGTTACTTATTAGGCCTGTAAACAAACCGAACGTTCAGCAAACCGTTTGTGAACCGTTCGGTGGAAAGTTCGTTTATGTTCGTTTATTTATTAAACCAACGAACATGAACAAGATTTTGTGTTCGTTTAATTAAATGAATGAACACGAACAGATAGCTCATTCGTTATTTCATGTTCGTGAACGTTCGATAATATGTTCGTTTATGTTTGTTTATTTATATTTAGCTCAATCTCTCTAGACCTATTTAAAGTATTAAGGCCCAATAAATTTTAATCTGATACCCATTAATATTTTAAAATTCAATTAATTATAAATACAAATAAGAAAATCTCATAACAATTAAATACAAATTAACTATGAAGTTGCAACTTATATTAATGAATTTTATGTGATTATTGTTGTTGTGGTTTATGTTCGTTTGTTTTGTTCATTTATGTTCGTTTACGTTCGTTTATGTTCATTTATTGTGTTCATTTACATTTGTGTTCATTTATTGTGTTCATTTATGTTCGTTTACATCCGTTCGTTTATATTCGTTCATTTGTGTTCGTTCATCATTTAAATGAACAAACATGAACGAACACGAACAAGCTACATTCCTTAACGAACAAAAAAATTTTGTTCGTTTATGTTCGTGTTCGTTCATTTGTTCGGTTAAAGTTAAATGAACGAACATGAGCATACTCTGTTCAGTTCGTTTACAGGCCTATTACTTACTCTTCACGGCTGCTCTCGATTCCTTCTATTACGCGACATTGGAAAGGGATTAATTCAAACGAATGGCCACCCTTTCCAACAAGTAATTTCATACTTTGTCACAACTGAAGACTTCAACCCTTTTACAAGTAAAAGACTGTCATAATCTCCCAGAGAAAGAGAAATGTGACCAAGGCCAAAGACAAACAATACATTGTTTATGTATCTTTTTTCTTATATATCAGTTTCTTTATATGTCACATGACATTAGTGTTTCCTTTTTTATAAACATTATAATATAATTGGTGTTGTATATATTATATTTATTAATCAAATCAAATATGAATTTAAAGTTTACCTAATACTTTTATGGTAATTTTTCTTTAAAGATCAAATAAGTAAAGAAACAATTGAAGTCCAAATTAAGAGTAAACACTGAAGGGACAAGACAACCTCAGTCTGTTACCAATAGGTTGCCTTGAAAAGCATGTCGGTTCCAAATAAAAACAAACATGTATTGTATTTTAAACGGTAAATATGCTAGTATTTTAAGTTAGAACGACGATCACGGCGGCTGAATATTCTTTGACAAAAACACGAATTGAGACTTTGAGTTAAATATCTTTTGTCGTGTAAAAATGGACATTACTATAAAACGATGAATTGTCCAAGTCAAGGTCTTTGCAATTTGTTAGAAATCTCAAGCCCCTCTTTCTATCTGTCTTCCTCTTTTTTTTTTAATTTAGAGTAATTACATGGTAGTATTTATTTAAAATTTTCTTAAACTATTAACATCGCATACACTCCTTGTAGAGGTAGCTATTTGAACCCGAGACCTTTAGGTAGAGCAACGTTTCCTTTTACCATTGAAGTCAGTTGATAAATTTTCTCTCATTTTCCTCTTGAGACAATGGGTTCAACTAGGTAAACATTGTGAAGTACTTGAAAAATCTCTCCTTTTTCATTCATTAGAGTGTGACTTGCAAGACATTTGAGTTGAAATGATATTTATTTTATATTTTTATTGTTGGAAGCGTGAATGAACTTTAGGTAATTTTATAATTGACATGCTATTATTAATACGAACCAAACAAATACGATACGAACACTAGCTGTAGCTAGTTTACAAACACAACACGTGATGAGTGTTCAGAATCGTTAATCTTTGTTCGTTATTTCTTCGATTTTGTGGAGTTATTGCTGCTGATTTGGTTGTGTTATGCCTATTTTCGTGCATGTCCTTACTTTCCAGAATTAGTGATAAAACGGGCGAATTATGCACTTTTTTTTATTATTTGGTCACGGTTGGAGACATGGGCACGACTCTGGGCACGACGCGGTCTGACGTGGCAGTTTCTAGAAGGTCCAGTCAGCGGCGGTTTCTAGAAGACTTCATCCGCACGCCTTCTGGAAGATTGACGAGCAGAGTTGCATTAGGAGACTAGTTTAAGTTTGAATTTAAATTAAAAACAATTATCTTTTAGGATTATTTTATTTATTTTCTTTGTTTATCCTTTAAGCTTTGAGAGACTATAAATACCCACTTAGGGTAAGCCTAAACTCATCATTCAGATTACAACTCTCTTTTCTCTCTAGTTTTTATAAATGCTTTTCTTTTTACTTTTCAAGTTCTTTACACTTTTCTTTTATTTTTCAAGCTTTGTTTTCAAAATGCTAAGTATGACTTTTGTCATGCTTAGCTAAACTTTTCATAAGTCGAGAGCTGTCGCGATGAATCAATTCCAACGAGAGAATTGAAACAGACCCTTAATATCTTCGGAATATGTCTCTCAATTTCGGCACTTATTTTTCAAAATCAAAACAATTTTCAAAATCAAAGATTGGCTTTGGTCAAGAGGTTGTTGCGATTAAATGTGTGGGAGGAAGATTCGGCTTATAGAAAGCAATTCGACTTCTTAGGAACACACTTGGCGAGATGGCTTCGCCAAGAGGGAGTTGAGATCGGAATTGACGGTTATTGAAGCCACAATCTGAGTCGGTCGCTACGAACTTAAACGGTAATTGATCTACGACAATTGATGTTGTTAGAATCAATTACCGAAGCCGGAATCAAAGATTGCCTTGGGTATTCGGTATACAAGATAGAGTCACGGGGATAGCCCTTTTAGATAAAGTAACCGACGTTAATCCCGAAGAGAAAATCTTATTCGACGATCTAAAGGAAATTGAGTAAAAGCGAAGCTTGAGGCTACTTTTACCATATTTATTCACAATCTTCATCTTCTTATTTTTCCTTTATTTACTTTTATTTATCTAATCACTTTTATTATCTTTTTACCAAAATTCCCCCCATTCTTACTATTTCGCGCTTGGCATAAATAAATCAGACATAAATTAAGAATTTTCCAAGTCCTTGTGGATTTGACCCTACTTCTCTACGCTACGAATTTTCCCTTATTTATTATCCGAGAAGAAGGAAATTATTTTGACATCGAAACGACAGTTGTCAAATTGGCGCCGTTGCCGAGGACTTTGCCAAAGTTACTAATTTTTGTTTGCTTTTGATTTATGACCAGGTCTAATCCGGGAGCATTAGTGGAGTACGACCCGGAGATTGAAGCCAAAGCTAGGAGACTCTACGCACAGACGCTTCGGGAAAGAATAAGACAACAAACAAATCCAGAAGAAGAATCAAATTCAAGTAATATAAATCCGATGGTCGATCCTACTATCCGGGAGTTAGCCGCGGCACCTACTGAGCAAGTGCCTTTGAGCATTGATTTTCCCCAAGGTGAAACTCCGTACCAGTTGAAAACTGGCCTTATTCATCTCCTCCCTACATTCCGTGGATTGCCGAACGAGGATCCACACAAACATCTCAAGGAATTTCATATGGTTTGCTCCAGCATGAGACCACAGGGAGTAACCGATGACCAAATAAAACTTCGAGCTTTTCCTTTTTCCTTAGCCGATTTGGCTAAAGAGTGGTTATTTTGTCTTCCTCCTAATTCTGTAACTACATGGGCTCAAATGACTCGTCTTTTTCTTGACAGGTTTTTCCCTGCGTCAAAGTAAGTGAATTACGAAGGAGAATACTCGGAATCAACAACTTTATAGAGAGTCACTTTACGACTATTGGGAGCGGTTTAAGAAGTTATGTTCTAGTTGTCAACAACATGGGTTAACCGAACAAACACTCATTCAATACTTTTATGAATGATTATCTCCCCTGGAAATGAAGATGATCGATGCTGCCAGCGGTGGAGCCTTGGTGAATATGACTCCTACCGAAGCTAGGGACTTAATATCCACAATGGCTGCAAATTCCCAACAATTTTGCACAAATAATGAACCTTCTCGAAGGGTTCATGAGATAAGTTCATTTTCCTTGGAAAATAAAATATACAAGTTAACTGAAGCCGTAAACTCTCTTATTGCAGGAAAGACAGGACAAAACCGATTATGTGGAATATGTGCATTACCTGATCATCCAACAGACGGTTGTCCACTGATTCAAGATGACACATCAGCTCAAGCCAATGCAGTCAGAAACTTTCTGGGACCTCCCTAAAGAGCTTATAATCCCTACGACAATACATACAACCCAGGATGGATGGATCATCCGAATTTCAGCTATGCTCAGAACTCAAGACCAAAGCAAGGCTATCAAGCGAGACCACCTCCACCATAACAACAGCTGCAAAGACATCACTATAGTTGATTGTCGAGAGGTTAGCACTATCCCAGGAAAAATTCCAAACTCGAACTGAAGCCCACTTCCAAGAGATGAACAAACAGATAAGCCAATTGACTCAAGCCGTGGGGAGATTAGAGTCACAAAGGAGACTACCATCAGAAACTGAACCGAATCCAATAGAGAATGTTAGCGTAATCACCCTCCGAAGTGGTACAATTGTTGAATAACCAGACCCAAAGGAGGTAAGCGCAAGATCCCGGAAGAAAGAAGAAGATTCGAACTCCCGGAGGGAAGAAGAAGCTGATGATGCAGGGTCCCAGAAAGAGAATGATGAAGAGCAAATAGACGACCCGACGCCATCCCCCTATGACGTGCCACCGCATTTTCCATCGAGGTTAGTTAAAAATGATAAAAAAAGATGAGGAAAAGGAAATATTAGACGTACTTCGGAAGGTAGAAGTTAACATACCTCTCCTTGAGGTTATCCGGAAGGTTCCAAAGTATGCCCGGTTCTTGAAGGATCTCTACACTAATAAAAGGCGACTTACCGGAAACGAGAAGGTGGATTTGGGTGTGAATGTCTCAGCAGTTTTCCAACGACCGCTTCCATCGAAGTATAAAGACCAAGGTATGTTTTCAATACCTTGTAAAATTGGTGAGGTTAAAATCAAGCGAGCTATGTGCGATCTAGGTGCCTCTATCAATGTAATGCCTCTCTCCATCTATAATTTAATTTCCACCAAGCCTTTGAAGGAAACGAGAGTTACACTTCAGCTAGCCGATAAATCAATTATTTATCATGAATGACTCATAGAGAATGTTCTAATAGAGGTAGAAGATTTAATTTTCCCTGCTGATTTTTATGTGATTGATATGGAAAATGATCGTAGAAACATTGGTTCTGAAATCCTCCTCGGTCGTCCCTTTATGAGCACGACAAATGCAAAAATTGACATTCGAAGCGGTATTCTTACTATGGAGATCAACGGTGAGATCTTAAAATTTAATGTTTATAAAGCAATGAGATATCCGAATAACGTGCATAGTATCAATTTTGCTGGCGTTATTAAACTTTTTGATGATGAATCCAACTTTGTTGATGATTTATATAGGAAATCGGATGATAAAAAAGACGACATCAGGGAGTTGAAAAATATTTTAGTTGTTTATTCAGATTTGATCTTAAGAACTAAAGAATTACTTTCCCTTTTGCAAGCACAAAAAATTATGTCAAAATCATCGAGAAATCGTTTGAAGAAATCAATTTTTGGTAAAAAAAATATGTTTTGAATGACATTTTTTTACAAGATTTTTAATTTGGGAAAAATCTGAAGAAATCTTTATGAGAATTTTTCAATTCCATTATATTTTTACTTTTTTCATTTTTATTTTTATTCGGTCAAGCATGTTTAATTTAATTTATATTTTTATTTTCCAGGAACTGAATATTTTTATTCAAACTTAAACGACGAAGAATTGCAAAATTTCCATTTGAACAGTTCTAAATTCGGAACTTATAGTGCAGTCCACGATCGCCTCCACTCCATCGAGACGAACATCACAGAGATCCTATCCTACCTATGTCCTAGCGCCTCTCATCGCGACCGAGGACGTGGTCGTGGTCGACATTAAATCCAGGGAGTACTCTATTCTTTCTCTTGCACTTTAATTTTTCGTTTTGAGGTAAAACGCTTTAAGTGAGGGGGAGTAGAGTGTAGGATTGAATTTCCCTTTGCTTATCTTTATGTTTCGATGCTAGTATGTGTTGGTTGGATTTTTCGGAAATTTCATTGATTGTCTTTGCCTTGTTGAAAATTTTTGGAATGCTATGCTTGTTTGGGAACACATAATTGTTTAGGTTAGGATGTTCTTAATAGAGAATAGCATGAATTGTGATAAGTTAGTGTTTTTGTGATATTCCATGACTTCGTTGGTTGAAATGTGATTAGCTCAATGCATGAAACAATTTGGTGAGATTTGAGCCTTTACGAGCATATCATTTTCGCTCTCATTTTGTTTGATTGAGAGTGTCAAATTTGGCATTGGTATTCTAGAACCTGCATGTTAAATACTATCGAGATTACACATGAACATGATGCTTAAAAATGATTTGGGCACCTTAGGATTAACCATTTCGTTCCCCCACTAAATAGCCTACCCATGCATTTTCCCCTTAGTTAACCACTTTTGAGCCTATTCCCGCTTCTTTGATTCCACATGAACATGATTACACATGAACATGATGCTTAAATTCGTCAAAATTTAATATACCTTTTTAAGGTTTTATTAGAAAGGTCAATATGCTTAAGAGAAGTAAGGTTTCCAATAACAGATAGAATTTCACCTGAAACATATGATTTGATTCCGTCAAAATTTATTAATATTTACTTGTAAGGTTGTAGTTTAAGTCACAACACAATTGAACTTAATTCTAATCTCTTTCAAACTATTTTTAATCAATGCTGGTGTTTTTTTTTTGCAACAATGTTATATTTTCAACAAAATAAACTAAAAATGTGATATTATACCTGCTAATTTGTTATAAGAAATATCTATGAATACTAGAGAAGTCAAACTTCCAACAGTCGATGGAATATCACCTGAAACATATAATTAATTCCGTCAAAATTTATTAATGAGCAAACTTGAGGAGAACACAGCTGAACAATACGAAATAAAAGCGAACGAAATACGAATGAGGAAATGTTTACCTTTGAGGTTATTGTAACCAAGATACAAAGATTGGAGCATAGTCAAATTTCCGATTTCTATAGGTATACTTCCTTCAAAAGAGTTGTTCCATAAAGATAAAAACATCAACTCTTTGCACTTGAATAAACTATTAGGAATGCTACCAGAAATTTGATTCTCAGCCAAGCTTAATACTTGCAATTTAGACATGTTATCAAATATTTCCGACTCTAGATGGCCTGCAGTGAAATTATTAGTTATATAAATCTTTTAACTAATGAAAATATATTCAAGATCGAGAAAGAAATGGAACCTGAAAAAGAATTATAATCCAGATATAACCATTCCAAGTTTGATAGATTTCCAATTGTTATAGGAATCTGCCCTTTGAAATCGTTTCTATACAAGACCAGCCTTTCTAATTTTGACAAATTGCCCAAAGTAGATGGGAAAACACCAGTGAAGCTGTTGTTACCAAAGTTCAAATATTTCAGCCGATGCAAATTAGTTAACTCGGTAGGTAAAGAGCCATGGAAACTATTGTTATGAATGTCGAGCCAGCCAAGGAAAGATAAATTTGCCAATTGAGATGGAATGGTGCCCGTGAGATCCATACTTGACAAATTCAGAGCAATGACTCTGTGGTGTCTGGATCCACAAGTGACACCAATCCAATTGCAAACAGATACAGAAGTGGACCAGCTGGTTGCTAGGAGGTTGTGCGGATCATGAGTTATATGGGATTTTAAGGCTAAAAGGGCGAATTCATCAATGGTGATGTTGGCCGACAGAGTAGCCCTGAAGGTTGCAAATAACAGGAGAAACATAAGAGGGATGAGGAAGGGAGTTTTTGCCATAAGGTTGGGCGTGGGTAAAATACAAATCATGAAGAGAGAAACAACTGAGTTTTAATGCTTCTCTATTGTTAGGTCGATGCTCTTTATATACTTTGATTGTAAATAATTAGACACGATATCCTTCGACTCACAATTTGAATAAGAAATACGCACAATTACCTGTACACGAAAAGAAAAGGCCAAAAATGGAAGACTTGGTCTCCAGTACATCAGCGGTCCATACATCCCATTGAGAATTTAATTTTGATTGGAATTAGACATATTCATCAATCAGTATCATTTGGAATTAGACATATTCATCAATCAGTATCATTTGTTACTTATTAGGCCTGTAAACGAACCGAACGTTCAGCAAACCGTTTGTGAACTGTTCGGTGGAAAGTTCGTTTATCTTCGTTTATTTATTAAACGAACGAACATAAACAAGATTTTGTGTTTTAATTAAATGAATGAACACGAACAGATGGCTCATTCGTTCATTTATGTTCGTGAACGTTCGATAATATGTTCGTTTATGTTTGTTCATTTATGTTTGTTTACTTTCGTTCGTTTATGTTTGTTCATTTATGTTTGGCTCAATCTCTCTAGACCTATTTAAAGTATTAAGGCCCAATAAATTTTAATCTGATACCCATTAATATTTTAAAATTCAATTAATTATAAATACAAATAAAAAAATCTCATAACAATTAAATACAAATTAACTATGAAGTTGCAACTTATATTAATGAATTTTATGTGATTATTGTTGTGGTTTATGTTCGTTTGTTTTGTTCATTTATGTTCGTTTACGTTCGTTTATATTCATTTATTGTGTTCATTTACATTTGTATTCATTTATGTTCATTTACATTCGTTCGTTTATGTTCGTTCATTTGTGTTCGTTCATCATTTAAATGAACAAACATGAACGAACACGAACAAGCTACATTCCTTAACGAACAAACACGAACAAAAAAAATTTATTCGTTTATGTTCGTGTTCGTTCATTTGTTCGGTTAAAGTTAAATGAACTAACATGAGCATACTCTGTTCAGTTCGTTTACAGGCCTATTACTTACTCTTCACGGCTGCTCTCGATTCCTTCTATTACGCGACATTGGAAAGGGATTAATTCAAACGAATGGCCACCCTTTCCAACAAGTAATTTCATACTTTGTCACAACTGAAGACTTCAACCCTTTTACAAGTAAAAGACTGTCATAATCTCCCAGACAAAGAAACAAGTGACCAAGGCCAAAGACAAACAATACATTGTTTATGTATTTTTTTTTCTTAGATATCAGTTTCTTTATATGTCACTAGACATTAGTTTTTTTCCTTTTTGATAAACATTATAATATAATTGGTGTTGTATATATTATATTTATTAATCAAATCAAATATGAATTTAAAGTTTACCTAATACTTTTATGGTAATTTTTCTTTAAAGATCAAATAAGTAAAGAAACAATTGAAGTCCAAATTAAGAGTAAACACTGAAGGGACAAGACAACCTCAGTCTGTTACCAATAGGTTGCCTTGAAAAGCATGTCGGTTCCAAATAAAAACAAACATGTATTGTATTTTAAACGGCAAATATGCTAGTATTTTGAGTTAGAACGACGATCACGGCGGCTGAATATTCTTTGATAAAAACACGAATTGAGACTTTGAGTTAAATATCTTTTGTCGTGTAAAAAGGACATGACTATAAAACGATGAATTGTCCAAGCCAAGGTCTTTGCAATTTGTTAGAAATCTCAAGCCCCTCTTTCTATATGTCTTCCTCTCTCTTTTTTTTAATCTAGAGTGATTACATGGTAGTATATGTTTAAAATTTTCTTAATCTATTAACATCGCACACACTCCTTGCAGAGGTAGCTATTTGAACCCGAAACCTTTTGGTAGAGCAACGTTCCCTTTTACCACTGAGATCACTTGATAAGTTCCCTCTCATTTTCCTCTTGAGACGCTGGTTCAACTAGGTAAAAATTGTGAAATATTTGAAAAATCTCTCATTTTTCATTCATTGGAGTGTGACTTGCAAGACATTTGAGTTTAAATGATATTTATTTTATATTTTTATTGTTGGAAGCGTGAATGGGCTTTCGGTAATTTTATAACTCACACGCTATTATTAATACGAACCAAAATACAAATACGATACGAACACTAGCTGTGGCTAGTTTACAAACACAATCCATTTGAGTTGAAATGATATTTATTTTATATTTTTATTGTTGGAAGCGTGAATGGGCTTTCGGTAATTTTTTAACTCGCACGCTATTATTAATACAAACCAAAATACAAATATGATACGAACACTAGCTGCGGCTAGTTTACAAACACAATCCCGATATTCAAAGCTTTGTTAAGTTTCACTTTCTAACTCTCGGTTTTTTTTCTTTATCTCACTACTCACATACACATATATATAGCCTTATTAAACCGTCTTGGCTACTGTTATTCTTTGATGTAAAATTGTCTTCAATTTCCAAATAGACATTTTCACATCCATGCAATTTTCCTTGTCGTTTTAAACTTCTCTTCTTTGTTGTAGAAATTTCTTTGATGCCACATGTAAACACTTGTTTTTGTCCGGATCTAAAAAAATATTATTATTATTATTATTATTATTATTATTATTATTATTATTATTATCATTATTATTATTATTATTACACCTATTACATTTTATGCAAGCCTTGAAGCCCCATCCAACTACAACATCAGGCCCTCACCCAAGCAAGCCCAATACACCCAAGGCCCAGAGCCCAATCCATACAACCATATCAGCTAACCCGATCTGTCCCAAAAGTGGATCAAACCCGACCTAAAACCCTTGTTAGGTATGGCTCATAAATATACGGTACGGGATTATTTTTGTAAATATGTACCAGAGTTTATTTATTATAAATAGAGATGTAACATAAACCTATGAGACATTGAATAAACTTCTAGCGCCGCCTAGGCACCGAGGACGTAAGCACATTGCTGAACCTCGTTAAAATTCTTGTGTTCTTTCGTTTTTCTTTACCCGATTCATCAACAACCCTAAACACATTAAGGTTTCAGGAAAACTTCAAGCCGTCGCCGCCTCTTGGTTTTCCAGCTCCCACCGGCGCCTGAGCCGCCGCCAAGGCACTGAGCCAGCGCCGAACTTCTGATCAAGCCAATCCATCATTCACAATGACAACAAGTCATCAAACACATCAAATGGCAGTAATCTACATCAACATTAAAAGCAACCCCATAAAAAATAAAAAACAAATCCAAACATATCTTCCGAATGAGATCTCCTCGGTAGCAATCTCGACAAGTCAACAAAAGCCATCCATCAGTCAAAAAAAATCACATGCAAGGATAAAAGAGGAAAGTTTCAGAGAAGAGCGAACTGATTAAGTGAAGGGAGAAAAAAATAGAGAGAGTTTTCCATAGAGAAAAAAACAGAAGATATATCAGGGGGTTGAGAGAAAAAAAACAAGATTCGGATGTAAAGGAAAAAAAAAGAAAACAACAAAAAGAAAAAGAAATCGAGAACCCCTAAGTCAATAGAGAGAGAGGAGCCCTTACCTGATTGGAGAAACCATCGGGAAGTCCAAAAGGTCGCCGGAGTTTCGTCTTTTCCGTGAGGTACATCCTAGATCTAGGGTGTTTGGGTCGTTTTTAGGCTAAACTAGCTTGAGGTTTGGGTAGAGGGTGAAGGGGTGAGTATTTTGGGGTAAATTGCAGTTTAGGTCCCCTGTATTTTGTTAACCTTACCCGTGTTTCTCATACTTCTAGGGGCAAATTACAGTTTAGGTCCCCTGTATTTTGTAATATCATTGTTAAGCCATTTAATGAATTTTAGTTTCTTTTATTTCGATCACTTACGTTTTATTAATTGTACTTTAGTCACGTTCATGCATATTTTTTTGTAACATCCTCAATACCGGGTTAGTGACTAAATTGTAAAATTTCAGAATTTGGTGATTAAAATAAAATAGTTGAATAGTTTAATGATTTATGTGGAAATATTTCATGAAAGTTATTAGTAATTATTAAAGGAGATAAAGGGAAAAATGGTCATTGGAGTTAAAATGAATAAAATAATTATATATATGGATAAGTTTGAGAGATTTCTCCAGAAATCTCATCTCTCTTCTTCATCTTCATCTTCTTCTTCTTCCTCACGTGAAAGCTTCAAGAGAAAAGGTAAGATTTCTTAATGGTTGATTATTAGCTGAAATTTAAGTTGGGTTATGATCATTAGATGATAATTAAGCTTAAGGAAAGCTTAATTTGTTCTAAAACAACAAGATGAAAGGTATAGAAGAGATCAAAGAAAATGGGTTTTTAAATGAATTTCTGAAAAATAGTTGATAAGTTGAATTTGAAACAAAATTTGACTTGTCATCTATGAGAATAAGAAGTTAGAAGTGTTAGAATTAAGTTTGGATAACATGGAAAATTTAGTAAGATTATTGGTTTTAAGAATTTGGATGAAATATGGAAGATTATACAGTGTTGGAATGATAGGAATTGGTTAAGGTTGTTATAGATGAATTTAGTAGTATAATAAGGATTTTATACATCAAAATTCGGGTGAAGTGTTGATGATTTTTGGATAAAATATCCTATTCTGGGCAGGTGCATCGATACACTATGAGTATGTACCGATGCACTATGAGTATGTACCGATGCACTATGAGTATGTACCGATGCACTAAGACAAATTTTGAAGGTGCATCGATGCATTAAGGGGTGCATCGATGCATTAATATTTCAAAGTTATTTTGGGTACCGATGCACCCATAGTGCATCGGTACACTCCTAAATGAAAAGCTGAAATTTGGTTTATTAAATTAGCCTGAGTTATTAATATCAAGTTATAAAGTTTGGGCTTTTGATAATTGTTTCAAAAATTATGTTTATGTAGATATAGAACGTAATCTCGTTCCGGAACAATCGAAGAATTAGGATTGAATCAAAGCAAGGCTAAGGTGAGTGCAATTTAAATTGTACTTATGTTATTGAACGAACATTGGCTTGCGATGAGCCAATGATGGAGT